ATATATATATATAAAGATTGAGTTGGTGGCTGAAGAAGGAGCTCTGCTAGGGTTTCTGGGAAGATGAAGTTCTGCAGCAGCTGGCGGAAGTTGGCAGGTGCTGTCAAGGTGGTAAGTAGTGTCCTTTGGACTACATTTTTGTGGTTTTTCTTTTTAGCCTTTCTCGGGTTGGGTATCTCTAGCCTAGTTACTGTTCCATTGAGCTGGGGCTTCTCCCCATCATTTCTTTTTCTGCCATCCTTGCTTCTGGTTGGAGTTAAGAGGTTTGACTCTCCCTCTTCTCCAACTGGGGGACTCTGGTGTTTTGTTTGTAGCTGCTCTAAAGATTTCACACCACAATGACTACTCCTATTGATGTACACATTGATTCTCAGTGGACAAAAGCTACCTATACTACTGTTGTTGGAAAAGCCAGTGACACCCTTCAAGATCTTGAAAAGCTAATCTTCCCTCAAGAATTTCATGATGTAGCTATTGCTAAAGGGGTGTGCCCTTGCATTCACCCTCTTGGCTCTAAAGAAGGAGAAACTATTGTGTACTTTTCTGATATTGATCTGGCATCACTAAATGAGGAAGTCAGATCCACTTTAGTGGGAAAATTTCAATTGGGTCACCCCAAAATGGATCTTTTTAGAAACTTTTTTGATTCACATAATTTTATTTTGCAGTGGAAGTTTGGCTTGCTAGATGACAGACACTTACTTATCCAATTATCACTAGAGAAAGACTATGCTAGGTTATTTGCTAAACAAGCTGTTGTTATTGCTGGAACTACTATGAAAATCATGAAATAGACTAAAGATTTTTACCCAACTAAAGATCCCTCCTGTGGTACCTGTTTGGTTCAAACTGCCAGGACTTCCACTACCATTCTTCAAGCTTAATTCTCTTTTTAATATTGGAAGGGCATTGGGCACACCTCTGAAGGTAGATGCCCCAACCTTCAACAAGGTAAGGCCTGTACTTGCAAGAATTCAAGTAGAGAGGGCATAACACTCCAAGAGATAAAGAGAATTTGGATTGGTTCAGAGGCTGAAGGATTTTGAGAGGATTTTGGCAAAATATAGTTGCTGAGAAAAAAACCATTTTACTCCCAACATTGTAAAATGTTTGGTCATACCATTGAGAGATGCTTTAGGCTTCACCCCCCTTCAAGAAACCATCTGTGAATAATTCAAATGAGGTTTGACATGTTGTTGAACAAATCTAAAGTACTATTGCTGCTGAAGTCGGTCAGTTGAATGACATTAGAGCTGTGAAGCAGCTTAGAGTTCATTCCACTACCAAAAGTCAATCCCCATAGAAATGTAATGATCCCCCCTCTGGGGATCCTTTGGGTGAACTATCTGACTCACAATGCAATACTGATACATCTCCAGGGAGAGCTATGAGAATAGAAGTCAATGAAGTTATAATTATTACTCCCCCTTCTCCTTCAGTTGGAGGTAAGGGAGGAATTATTTAGAACTGTCTTCCCAACATAAAGTTTGGGAAAAAAAATTGTGGGCAGTACTGTTGTTGAGTTACAACTGACAATTGAAGAGGATTGGCAAGTTCAGACAGCTAGAAAAAAAAAACAAAAAGACAACTGAGGTGCAATAACTTTAGCAAGGAATAAGCTCTATGAAGACTGAAGGGAAGGCCAGGACTAAGAATGGTTACACCTCTACGTACAATAGAGGCTATACTAGATCATGGTCTCAACCATCTATTCAACTCCCTTCTATTAATGATTAACATTCTATGCTGGAACATTAGGGGTATGGCTAACCCCCTTTCTATTAAAAGAGTTTTGCATCTTAACCATAATCATCAACTTTGGTGCATTGTCATTCTTGAACCCATGGTGCATAAACACCCAAGTAAAATATTTAAGAAGTTTAATGATTTTTTACATCTTGCTAATATCAATAATAAAATTTGGGTCATTTGTAGAAAGGTAATAAGATCGAACATTTTGGTTGATCACCAATAACTTGTTCACTTATCATTTTCTGTTATTGGCCATAGAGGCTTTGCATCATTTGTTTATGCTAGTTGTACTAAGACAGACAGAATGGAACTATGGCACTGTCTCCACAAGATCAGTCAATAGATGAATTCTCCCTGGTTAGTGGGGGGGATTTTAACTGTATTGCCTCTTCTGCAGTAAAATCTAGTGGCAGGCCCCCCAATATA